ACTGTCTTCCTCTGTGGCCTGGCAAGGCTGCTCCCCGCTCAGGGGGAGGTGATCAAAGAGCAGGCCAATCAGTTCATGTCAGAGACAGTCCCTGTTCCCATTACTATGGAACCCATTTGGACACTAAACTACCATGGACAACATCTGTGCAGGGGTTCTAGGTTATCTCCATCAATGGTCTTTGGTTGGAATATCAGTCCCAGAAAAGACCCCTGTGCTCAGATTTTTTTAGTTCTGTTGATCTTCTTGTGGAGCTCCTGTTCTCTCCAGGTCTAATTATTTCCTACTTCTTTCATGAAATTCCCTGCACTCTGCCCAAAGTTTGGCTATAAGTCTCAGCATCTGCTTTGATACCCTGCAGGGTAGAACCTTTCAGGGGCCCTCTGTGGCAGGTTCCTGTTTTCTCCTTTTTCTAATGTTCAGCCTCTTTGCCTTGCTGTATGGGGTTTGAGCATTTAGCCAGAGTCCTCCTTCTTGATTAGTTTCTTTAGGTGTTCTTTAGATTTTAGTAGGTGTATCCTATATTATATGTCTAATATCCACTTATGAGTGGGTATATACCCTGTGTGTCTTTTTGCTTCTGGGATACCTCACTCAGGATGATCTTTTCCAGTTCCCACCATTTACCTGCAAATTTCATGATTTCCTTGAAAACCGACTGGTGGATCAATGGAATCGAATAGAAGACCCTGAAATAAATCCACATACTTAAGGACACCTGATTTTTGACAAAGATGCCAAAACCATACAATGGAAAAAAGACAGCATCTTCAACAAATGGTGCTGGTCTAACTGGATGTCTACATGTAGAAAAATGCAAATAGATCCATGCACAAAACTAAATATCACCCTGCACAAAACTAAAGTCCAAGTGGATCAAAGACCTCAACATAAAACCAGACACACTAAACCTGTTAGAAGAAAAAGTGGGGAAGAGCCTTGAACTCATTGGTACAGGAGACAACTTCCTGAACAGAACACCAACAGCACAGGCTCTAAAAGCAACAATCAATAAATGGGACCTCATGAAATTGAAAAGCTTCTGTAAAGCAAAGGACACTGTTGTCAGAACAAAGCGACAGCCTACAGATTGGAAAAGAATCTTCACCAACCCTATATCTGACAGAGAGCTAAATATCAAGTATATATAAAGAACTCAAGAAGTTAAACAGCAACATATCAAATAATCCAATTAAAAGATGGGGTACAGAGCTAAAAACAGAGAATTCTCGACAGAGGAGTATCGAACAGCCGAAAAACACTTAAAGAAATGCTCAGCATCTTTAGTCATCAGGGAAATGCAAATCAAAACGACCCTGAGATTTCACCTTACACCCATCAGAATGGCCAAGATAAAAACTCAAGTGACAACACATGCTGGAGAGGTTGTGGAGAAAGGGGAACCCCCTCCTCTACTTTTTCTCCTTCTATAGTATATTGTAGTTGCAATTCTCTTTGTTCTGGAGTCATTTTAATCAAGAGTGGTATACAGTTTAAGACTCCTACAAATAGCCTTCTCTAGATTAAACCATTTTGTCCAAACATGTATGTAAAGACAGGACCAAAAATGTATGCATATAACTATTAAATTCAACAGCTAGGTGTGGTGGCATATGCCTGTAATCCCAGAGAGACTGAGGCAGCAGAATAATGTAGAAGCAGGTCGGGGCCTCACAGTTCTAGAGCAGCTTGGGGGACTGTCTCAGAAAATCAAAGTCTGGGGATATAGCTCAGTGTTAGAGTGATCTTTCCGGGGTTCTAGGTTCCATCCCCAGTAACACCTTGATCTAAGTTAAGTAAATATATACTTATACAAATAATATAACTACATACATACATACACACATTTATACACATGCACACAAGTCTGTTCTCTGTGGCACACACCAGAGCCATGAACCCCTGGCATAATAACCTAAATTACATTTTAGGTCTGATCGTTTAAATGGTGGTTACTTAATGACTGACATCATTTGTGCTATGCATTGATAATCATCTATAGGTCACAAGTTCTCTAAATATTAGTAATACCCAGAATTCATTACAGAAACAGTTAAGTCCAAAAAAACTCATGACCAAGTTCCAAATGCAAATACACATCTAGTCCCAAGGAATTTAGAATCTGACTGCTTTTCCTTAAATATCTTTAATACCTGAAAACTGAGTTAAGTGTGACATTCAGTTCAGCTCCCTGAAGCTGTGCCTGAAAAAGGAAGTTCAGGGTGAAGGCAAGAAAATAATTCTTGGCTCTTGGATGTGTACGTGGACATGCGTGCACGTGTGTGTACGTGTGCATGCATGTATGCAAGCACCACACCACAGCTTGCAGGCGGAGGTCAGAGGAAAATCCCAACCTCAGAAACTGAGCCTTGCCTCCTGTCCTCTGTAAGTCGGGGTCTTTTTGTTATTGTTCACTGTGACATACATCAGGTCAGCAAGCCCACAGGCCTCCAGGAATTCTCCTGTCTCCACTTCCCATCTCAGCATGGGATGTGGGATGTGTTACCATGTCCAGCATCACGTGGGTTCTGGGGACAAACTCAGGCCCCCACATCTGTGGGGAAAACAGTTTACCCACTAACTCATCTTAACCCTGGGTGAAATAATTCTTGATACCAAGGTTACCAAGTGTGTGGATGAGTATTTAAATGCTAGTGTGTTTGGGGGAAGGAGGAACACTGAGTGTATTTAAGTGTTGATCCCCGTGTCTTTCCAGTGCACCCTCAACCACAAAATCATCAGTAATTCACCCAACACTTAGGGGGGGAACATCTGATCCCCAAGACATCCTGAGAGAAAACAATGACATCACCACACAAAGTCTTTAGAACATTATATTTCATAAAAGACAATGATAAAAAAGTACAAACGTTTCTATGAGAAGCAAAACAAGACAAAAAAAAAAGACTGCAAGAAATCACTAGCACTACTTACATCAATGCAGTTACATAGAAGTATTCCATATTGTAATAAATAATCTTAAGTACACTTCCTCCTCCCGAAAAACAGCACTATGACAGTTTGCTTCACAAATGAAAAATCTGCAAACCCAAGGCAAGAAATCTAGAGTGCTATTTACCTGAAAGATATGTAAAGAAATGGGACAAAGCCAAATACAATGACACCAGAATCTGCTTCCATGCTCAGAGAGTCTCCATAGGGAGACTATTGTATTGGCTACACTTCCATTTTGTTTTAATATAGTTATCAGTAACTTGACTGGAATAGGAGTTTTTGTTTTGTCTGAGACAGGGTTTCTCTGTGTAGCCCCGACTGCCCTGGAACTTACTCTGTAGACCAAGCTGGCCTGGTACTCAAAAATGTGCCTGCCTCTGCCTTCCCTAGTGCTGGGATCGAAGGTGTGCGCCACCACCGCATAGCTGGAAGGGGAGTTTTTAATAGGTAATTTTGTACTTAAATTTTATAATATTTTCTTAGTGAACATCTTTTCACGAAATTTAACTTTTAACTTTCTTCAATCTACCTTGTGTGTGTAGTGTGTCTGCACAGGAGCACCCATTCGGAAGTCGGAGGACGATGTGAAGGAGTAAGCTCTCTGCTTCTACAGTGTGGGGCCCAGGGGTCACTCGGCTTGTCAGGCTTGGTGCAGGCACCTTTACCCCTGAGCCACCTCGAAGGTCTACAACAGAAAATAATTTTATAAAGGGGTCGGGGCAAGCCACCTCATTAAAACCCTAGCTTTGGCAAAGAATGAAATGGCATCTTCACTAAGAATCAGACAGAATGTTACAATGAACTTGTGTACCTTCTCCCTTTCTTTGATAAATAGCCCATCACGCATTGCTTTCTCTAGCTCAAAGGCACCATATAATTTCCCCAGTGCCATGAGAACTGGCCGGCATCTCTGTGTCCACACTGGATTTGAGACTAAGACAACTGACAGATAAGTTATCAGAAAGCGTTCTTCCTAGTTTCAGATGTTTTAACTTTCTTGATTTGACTTGTTTTTTGTTTTTTTTTGGGGGGGGGGAGGGGAGAAGCCACTTTAAATACTACAGGTAGCAAGGCAGCTGGCGGGGGACAGACACCCAGTGCAAAGCTACCAGCCAGATTTGATTACATCACACTGTCTGCTTCTGCTAACATGTAAGGAAGAGATTTGTCATCCTATGATCACGGAAGCTGGGCAAAAAGGCCATTCATGGAAACATAGAGAGGTCACTATTCATAACTGAAATGGTGTGCATTAAAAAACAAAGTGGTAAGGTGGTTCTCACAGGCTGACATATCAGATCCAACACCAGAATAGGGCAAAAACACTTACACCCAATTCCTGAAGCCATATTAATGCCAGATTTAACCCCAGAGCATAAGGCAGATTTCCTGGAGTTCTGAATTTTCCTGAAACTGTGAACTATGTATCAATGCAAAAAGGTATCCCAATGAAGACATCCCCAACAAACCCAAAAAAGTGCGTTTCCCCCAGTAAGATTTCACATGGTGCCAACTTCCCCACCTCTGTGAGGAGGGACCAGCGCTGGGTTCATCACACACCTGTCTCACTAGCCTTCACAATATTAACTAACATTTCATTCTGCTGCCATTCCGTCCAATTAAACACTTCATCAGCCACAAGTGACAGACAACAAACCAATAACACATGGATATCCTCATTCCCGAAAGTGTTGACTTTTCACTATTCTGAGCAGCAAAAATATTGGAAGGTAAATATTGCAGTACCACTTCTAGGAAATAAACACGGACAGAATGTTGTCACGACAGAGAGGACATCCATTTTCTCCAGGATTAAGAACTTTAATTACTGTAGGATTTGATTTGTGGCCATCAGCGTTACCAAAACTACGACAGAAGATGACAACTGCAAGCCAAGCTCTCAGCATTACATAAGGGGAGCAAACTTTTCTCACACCCAGAATTCTCTCACTCTCCGCTCTGAGGGAAGGCTCACTGTACAGACGGCAGCGTAGCTTTAACTTTGTGAAAGTATGGGAAGTAAGATGTTACACGAGAGTAGGAGATATTTTTCAAGAATCTTTATAATTGATAATTTTCAAAGTAAGAATACTGTTTGGGCTTTGTTGTTTTGTCACAGAAAACCTCATCCAGATTGATCATGATTAGACTCAGCATTAGGCAGTAAGACCTATTTTGAAGCCAACGTGTCCACACATTCAATTAACTGATTTTAAAGTCTCTAGGCGGTAGGTTCAATCCCCAGCACCACAGAAAAGGAGGGGGGCAATCTGTCAAATTATACTTTTAGGGAAAACATTTTAATAACACCAGAGATTTCTTGAAATTGGAAAAAGGGAGTTGGACTGACTGGCTGATGTGAAAGGGGAGCTGTGTACATCTGAGAATTAAAGTTAAAGTTTGTTTTAATCTAAGCATTTATCTTCATAAAAATAGAGCATCTAATTTCTCACCTACTAGTATAATTCATCTGTATAAGCACTACTGGATTTTTCCATACGTTCATTCTTTTAAAAAATGCTTTTAAAAGAAGATATTTTCTTTTGGTTCATATTAACTGGAAATAATAATGCTGTCCACTCTGAGATTGAAAAAAAAAAAAAAAAAAAAACAGGGTCTATAAACACAACCTTGGGAACATTTTTTTTTTTTTGAGGCACAAGATCCCTGACACAGTGGAGGTACATAGAGACATTTAACATGAAGAGGTCCTGTACAGCATGTCACTTTATAACTCTGAAGATTTTCTTGGTAGTACTCATGCATAAACAATATGGCTGTTGACTTGGCAAAAATCTGATGAGATTGCAAGCAAGGAAAAAAACAAACAAACAAAATAGGTAATCCTGGCAGGAAGAAAAGCTGTTCTTCCCTCGTTCCTTCAAAGCCCCTGGAAGGCTGTGCCTCTTCCCAAGAGGCAGAGTGTCTAAAGCTGAACACCAGAAGAACAAGTGACTGTATTATCTTTGTCTGTCGCTGACAGTCCCTTCATTTCTTACAAGGCTTAATCTTTGTTTGGCGACGTAAATTTACATAGTTTTTTTTTCTCCATGCAAATAAAAAAAATGTCTATAAAAGTCCAATGAAGGCATTACCAATTACATGCAAAACTGTGACATCTTATTCTTCAACAATTTTGAACACATTTAATTTACATCACATATGTACAAAATATGTTTGAACGGAAATAAAAGCATTCTCTTGAATTAAATTATAGATTTTGGTATAAAAATCTTCTCTTTGTAGGGAGCTCTCTTCACTTCGGATCCCAGGCTCTGGGTTCTAGTCTGTCCATCGCTTGCCATGGAGGATGCCCCCGGCAGGGGGAGTGGGGGAGGGTCATAGATGGAGTCCCACGCTGTAAACATTACGGACTGCTGGCTCTTCTCACAGACAGGGACACTGATATACTTCAAGCCAAGTTCACGGTCCAGCACTGTGCTCTACCCCGTCACGAGAGTAACTTCTTTCAATAGTCTTCAATTGGAGCTAACTCCGGCATGAGGTTCACAGATATATTTGTATACAGCCTATCAACCAGTATTTTGGGCGTGTATAATAAATTGTTCAATCCATCGATATACTGACGCTCCTTAGAATACCGTAGTAATTTATACCTTTAAAAAAAAATGCAGTAAATGTGTTGAAAAGAGGAAGATGTGAAATGCATTCTGGGGTCATTCTTATAATAAAGGCATACTTAAAAATCTCTAAGCCATTATTCTAAATTGGACTTTTACTAGTCAAAGACAGGTCAGCTAAAAAGTAAAAACAAGAGAAAGAAAAAGAAAAAGAATCTTTTACTCTTGCAACCTAGATTATGTCTTAGGTGGAGGACACGTTTTAAAAATAAGAAGTTAGCTAGATACAGACACAATTGTCTACTTCTGTCTTTCCCTTCACACACACATACGTACACTGTGACTGTAAGCCAGAAACCTTGGCCAGGGAGACCTCTGATCGTGTTAGAGAACTCCTTCTTTTTCCTAGCACGCTATAGATCGGCCCAGAAGTCTCAAGCTGACACGGGACTCACCGTCCTAAAAACTGGACTTCCCCTCGATGGTGGTGAGGAATAGATGTGTATTTCCCCAAGTCCCCCTCTGGCCGGGTTACGTTGTATCCGGCGAAGTGGACCCTGCAAGGTAACATAAAAGGGATTAAATGAATTTCAGAAGAAAAACGGGGAAGAGCAAAAACAAACTTGGGAACAAAACTTCCCAGCCCTAAGTCTCCTGTCTTAGAAGTGGGGTGATTTTCCAAATAAACACAGAGTTTAAAACCCGGGTTCTAGGCAACCGTGCCTCAGCCTACCTGTTCCAAAGGTCATCGTCCTCCCCGCCCCATCCCCAGAAGGCATTGGGAAAGCCGTTGATCTTCCTGAACTGCTCCACCGTCAGGCCACTCACACCACCGAAGAATTCCTTATAGGGAAGACTGGAAAAGAGAAGGGCATCCCACGTCCATCAGGGTGCCAGCCACATTGTCCCACCTCTCACAGACTTCTATTTTTTACAAAAATAAGCTGATTTAGAAAAAAAAGGAAAAAAAAAGGCATCCTGGAGAATGTGAACTGAGAAGTGAAATGTTTTTTTATAGGATATCAAAGCAAGTTAAGTTAAACGCAAAATCAAAACGTGTAGCAACTAAAATTTACTAGTAATTTTCTGACTAAAAACCCAGTGTTTAAAAGTACATAATATTCCCACAAAAAACATACCTAAAGAGATTAGTGACTGCCAATGCAATACTAGATCTTGCTAAACTGAAAGCATTTAAAAATACTAACTGACTTTATTCATATTATTTGGTACTTAGAGCAGGATAAATATAAATAATGAAGAAACATATTTAATTTTGAAATAAACTTCTATTGCTAAAATCACTTCACCTATTTGGATTAAATTAACAAAATACTCATAGATATTTAATATATACTTTTAAAACATTTTTCACATATTTATGTGGGGGAGGTCAGAGGACAACTTGCAGAAGTGGGTTCTCTCTTTTACCACATGGGTCCTAGAGCCCAAACTCAGGTTATCACCTTTCTGCCAACACATTTACCTCCTGAGTCGTCTCACCAGCCCCAAATATATTTATTTTTAATACAATAGTTTTTTTTTTGCAAAAATAAATAAATAAATAAATAAATAAATTTTAATTTAGGTTTTATTTTCCCTACTTTTCTCTAACTCGAATTCCAAGAGTTGGTCAGACTCTGAACTATTTTAAATGTTTCACTTCGTTTAGTTATTTGTGCTAGTGCCTGTGGCGGGGACACTGCCAGGACAACTTTGGGGGTTGTATTCCAGACATAACAACAGCAACAAAAAAGTCTAAGTTAAACGAAAGCATCACAAATATCTTTTTTAAAAAAAACATTAAAACAATCTCAACAGCACTTATCTTACAGTGTCCAGAGAGGAGACCAAACCCAGCAGGTAACATCACCACACGGCCAGCACTGTGAGCATCCGCCGGTGATTGCTGTCCCGGCCTAGACCTAGCAGACCCTGAATTGCCACCACTGTCCCCGCTGCCGTCGTCTCCCTGCTAAACCTCTGGGTTGCTCCAGAGTATGTGGTTGCTACTCACCCTCCAGGAACTGCTGCTTCTGAAGACCCTTCGTAGTCATTCCCACCCTGGCTGGGCTACCTTACATTCCTACCAGCAATGTCTACCTTCTCTTCTGTCCACACCCTCGCTAACATTTCTTGCTATTTAAAAAATAAAATAAAATAAAATAAAATAAAATAAATATATATACACACACACACACACACACACACACACACACACACACAATGGGTTTTTAGTCAGCCATGAAAAAGGAAAACGGATACAACCAGAGATCATTGTATTAACCAGAGTAAGGCAAACTCAGAAAGACAAATGTTACAAGGCTTCTCTCACCTGGGAACCTCAGCCCTTCTATGTAAAAGTGTGTCTGTGTGGGAGCATGACTCCCTGGGAGAAGGAATGAGAAACTCAGGAGGGAGAGGAGAATACACTTGTAGCAGACCTTCTCATGGCACTGTGCGCAGTGGAGAGTTACCAACTAAGGCCGCATTTTAAAAAAGCAGGTTATGTGCTTACAGCAAGGTGTCACTAGTGGTGGGAAGGCCAGTGACTGGGACGTTCCCATCTGAGTCACCCGCTTGTTTTCCTCCAGCCTCCTGTCAATACGGGGTCATTAACTTTGCCCATAGTGCTTCAGATTTTATAGACTAACAATTACTTACACAATAAAGACATTTAAGGGGGGAGCGACGGCTCAGTATGTAAAGTGTTTGCTATGCAAACACAGGGAACTGCATTTGAGTCCCCAGCACCAACATAAAAAGCAGGGCACAGAGGTGTGTGCCAGTAACCTCAGCGCTGGGGATGAGTCATGTCCCTGAGGTTTGTGGACCATCCAATCTAAACGAGTTGGTGAACCCCAGGTTCAAAACTAAGATGGCAAATGACTAAGGAAGGAGATGCCTGACAGCAAGCTCTGGCCTTCAGACACACACACACACAGGGAGGGAAATATTTGCTTCACATAATTAAAGAGCAGGTGATCTGCAGAAGGGCAGTCCGGACTCTGAGCCATCTCTTCACACAGCTAACACATGGCAGGATTAGGATGTATACCAGAACAGCCCCAAGGATAAGGAAAGCACCCTTGGGAGGGCAAGCCCCGAGGGTGAGAACCCAGATCTAAATCTATGTGCTTACTACAGGAGTTCGGACTCCTCCCCTCCCTCCCTCCCTCGCCCCCCGTTCAGACTTGTCCTGGCTCCCTAGGATGCTGGAGTCGGGGGAGATGCTTTTCAGGGTCCCGAGCACTCTCAGCCTGAGGCCCAGCATGCTGCTGAGAGCACACTGCTCCGTCAAAAGCGGATGCGCTACTCACATGTACATGTACTTGTCTAGCTTTGCTGCAAAGTGCCGCGGCATCTCCCCACATCCGTAATAGTTCCGGTCGTTCTCAGGCAAATGATCCACATCGTGGAAGATCACACAGTCCCAGGCGTTGTCTTTCATGGCCTCTTTGAAACCCACGTTAAACAGCATCGCGCGATTGAACGGTTGTGTGCCGGTCTCCACAGAGCAAAGAGAACCAGGAAAGTACTCAGACTTGGTCACGCGATATTTTCCTACCGCCTCTTAATTTGTTGTATCGTGGTCAAGTAATGATTATATCTCATCAATGAAGTGAACACATCAGAAGCATATGAAACGCAGCCAGAAACTACTTACCAGTGGAGGGAACGTTCTGAGGTGTCACCGACTGGTCAACACCACACAGACATTAGAGTTAAATACACAAGTGTAGTATCACTGGGTGACACGCCTCGGCACCACCATTATACAGGAACGATTCCCACGACTAAGGGTATCGTTATGGAGCACATGACGACATACTGTCTAAATTTACTTACGACATATTTTGGTGACATAGAAGAAAACCGGAGAGCTGCTACTATCTAGTCTACTGGTGCACTATACATTATAGGGACATGTCGACTTGTATTTCTGCCTTATTTCAAATATGCCAGATCACAGACTAGGTATTACCAAAAAAAATCAGATAAAATAATATTAAAAAATGACACCAAAGAACACATAAAAAAAAAAACTAAAAAAAAAAAAAAAAGCCCATACTCTCTACTGTTGCTTTCGATGATATTGAAAATGAAGACAGCAGTGGTGCTAGAGAGATGGATGGCTCAGCAGTTAGAGTCCCGCCTGCTCTTACAGAGGAACCCAGTGCTGTCCTGGCACCTGTGTCATACAGAGCACAATCACCCGTGATTCCGGCTGCAAGAAGTCTGATGCCCCTGAGCTCCCAAGGCACCTGCACTCATTTGAACATACCCACTTGAAGTAATGAAAACAAACAATTTTGATTCAGACAGGAGGGAGGGGTGTGGCTCAGTGAAGGGAACAGTTGCCTGGCATGCTTGGCATCCCGGGTTGATCCCTAACGTGGGTGATGGGGAGATTGAGGCAGCCTATATAACAAAGCAGGGCATCCTCCTGGAAGGGCAGATTTACTCTGAAGGACTTCAAAGTTTGATGTTCACAGTACACCAAGAGCATTTTAGACAACACGCAACCTGCTTCCTTCCTACCGTTGCCACTCTACACTACAGTGAACAGGCAACAGTTTCTTTCTTTTTAACTCTCGATTCCTGATTAGGAGAAGATAAGAACATTTTAATGGACATAATACAGAGACTTATTACGAGAAACCCAAGTTCCTATATCGTAGCCATTTTCCTTTATTCACAGTGATGACACAAGTCTACTGGAAAGAGCAAAGTTTGTAAAGGAAATGAAGGATGTTTGCAAATGCACTAGCAAATTTTACAAAAATCATTCCCCAAAACACAAGAAAAAGAATTTTGGCAGATGTGAAGGAGCCATGCAGCCAGCACCAGAGCGCGGCCTTGAGAAAGATATTCCTCAGTGTAGGGCAGTGTAGGGCACTACAAAAAGCAGGCTGCTTTTTGTAGTGAAACAGAAAATATGGAAAGAGATAAGTCATAACATTATTACTGATACTGTGTAAATATTTCTTCGGTGCTGACTGAATTGACTGTTTCTTCATGGAGATGAACCGGTTTTCTGTATAACTAGAAAGGCCAGTTGATAGAACCTATGCCTTTAATACCTAATGTTACTACAGAAAGATCAAATCCTCACGCACTTCCTTGTCTCCTCAGCTCAATTCCCACTGTCCTCATGTGCCAGCCATGTGACTACCACCCAGGCTTCTGCTTCATGCCCTTGATCATTCATGTCTTTTATATGGCTTACTTAAATTACTGGGGAATCTCTTTCAGAAGGTCCTTGTGTGTGATTGTGTGTGTATGTGTGTGTTTCATCAACAAAGAACTGAAAATGCCACAGTGACATTCTGGGTAGAAAGTTCTGGGGCAAAGTACCTTTCTTTTTTTTAGAATCTGGAGGTCCGGTTTCTAGCTATCTGCAATGCCAAGATAGTTCATTCATTCCTGATTCCTGTCGTTTTTTTTCTGTAATCTTTTAAAATATCTTTTTTATCTTTATTCTAAAATTTAAAAATACTATGCTTTCTATGCATAGTATTTCAAAAGCACACACATATATGTATGTGCGCTTTATTCACCTGTGCATGGGGGAGGTGTCTCTCACCTGAAGACACATCCTTTTTCTTAGACAGGGTTTTCCTGTGTAGCCCTGGCTATCCTTGAACTTATTCTGGAGAGCCGGCTGGCCTTGAACTCAGAAATCCACCTGCCTCTACCTCCTAAGTGCTGGGATTAAAGGTGTGTACACCACTACTTTAGAAATTTTCCTTATATTTTCTTCTTTGGCTCCTTCCTTCCACATCCCTAAAAACTTTTCTGCTGTGGTTCTTCAGAACTCTGATGAATGAGCGTATTAGTTATACAATAATATATTAAAAATCACAGCAAAATTCGTGGCCTCCATAGACGGGGGTTGTAACTCAATGGTGGTGCTGGATCCCTAGTACGAAGAACAACGAACAGAAATTTAAAAGGCCAGAGCACACTTACAGCACTGACCACAGCGCTTATGACACTGAGCACATCATCTACAGAAACAGAATTCTCCTCAGAGCAGAGCAGACCCTCACAAGGGCAGGTGATGGGCCCAACTTTCACATGCCAGGCAAGATGACGTCAGGAAGTCACTCCTTTTCCATAGGCCAGCCTGGACAAACTCAAGACAAAGCAGCTGCCACTCCAAGACAGGAAGGCTAAAGCCATGATGTGGCCTAGGCTTAAGTAAGGACTGCCTCTTCTGCTAAGTTCCTCAGGGCACTTATCTAGTATCCCATAGGTCTCTTGGGCTTAGCCTCTTCGTTTTTATATTTTAGTTCTATTCTTGGAGTTATTTTGCCTCCTAGCTATTCCCTCAAAAGCTTTCAGCCACCACATTTTCACTTGCACTGATATTCTGCTCCTACTGCTCCTTCTTTATGGCAAACCATTCTCATTTCAGAACTGATCTTTCATTTTTTCCTTAGCTGGGTGGATCCTGATTGTGAGTTTTTGTAGATTCGGCCTTTGGGGTCTCTTTGTTACCTTGCTTGACTGTGTTTCTTTTGTGGACATTTCCTGTAAAACCTGGAGCTCTGTGACTGCCTATTCATGTTGGAGAATAAAGTACTAAAAAGCCCAAGGAGAGCTCCCTACTGCTCAAACTACATATCACTTTATCAGTGAATAATTCCACTGTAACTAAAACCCAACCCAAGCACTGTTCATAATGTCCTGTGCCACCAGAACCCAAGCCATCATCACCTGCTTTGTGGATGATTACAGAAGCTTTCTAACTGTCTCCTGTTTTTTTCTGGTCTCACCTATGGCTCATTCTCTGCATAGAACCCATTGGGGTTTTTTTTAAAGCTGAGTCTGCGCAACACATAATAACTTACTATCTTTCCTTTCCAGAACAGTAAGGGCCTTAGTTGGTATGATGGGAAGTCTCAATGAAGAGTTATCTAGAGATCAGGCTAGCCTGAGGGCATGCCTGTCAAAATTTACCTTGATTGTATCGACCAACATGGTAAGGCCAAGCCCACTATGGGCAAAATCATTCCCTGGCTTTGGGCCCTGAAATGTATGAGAGTATGAAAGGTGAAAGAACAAGCAGGTATGAGTGTATTCATCTCTTTCTGCTCTTTACTGTGAGTGGGATGTAGCTGCCTGAGTTCCTGCCTTGATCTCCTTGGGATGACGAGCTGTGAGCTAAAACCCTTCCTTCCCCAGGCTTCTTTTTTTCGAGGTAATTTACCACAGCAACAAACTAGGAAACCTGGTTTGTTCACTACAGAACCCCTTTGTTGAGTAAAGAGAAATGGGGTACATACACGTGATGAAGCAATGGCCTGCCCTTGCCTTTGGAGATGTGCAGCTTGGCCTCCTTCTGGGTCTAAAGCATCTCTCTAGTGAAGTCATCATTTGTCCCTTGCCATAATGGAAGGAACAGACAGCATTTGCTGTCTTTAAAAACCCAGACAAGGTAAAGGCCTGAGAGATCCTATCCCAGGCTCAGCCTTCAAGCTGACGTACTACCCTGTTTTTAAGCCCCCTGACATCCCAGAGCTTCTCCGACAGTTTCTCTGGATATGAAGGTCAACCAGCTGTCAATACAAGCCAAGCTGAGGCTCTAGGGGCTATTTTGTGATTGCACATAAGTAGCCCAGTGCTTCAGCCTGTCTCTGTGCTCTATTTTAAGGGTGAAGACTATTGGGGATTTGATTTCCTTCTTGTCTCAACTGTGTTCTATAAACACACACACAGGAGCTGGTCAGCATCTGCTCTCCCAGCCAGCTGTCAGCTCCATCGCCTTCCCCCATCTCTCTGTTCTGGCTAATAGCTTAACAGAACTTTATCTCTCATTTCATCTTCAATAAAGAGGCAAAGCCATGCATACCCCTCGATACTCTGGCTTTCCGGGGTGCTCTTCAGTTGTCCTGTACTTCTGGGAACCCGGCCGGCAGAAAAGTGATTCTTCTATTTCATGGAGATAGATGAACAGATTTCTGGTTCAAAGCCACAAGCTAGCAAATGTACATTCCTGATTTAGTATTGACCAAGGCTGAGATTCAGACCTAACAGACTTGAAAGTTAAAACTGAGATCTCAGATGTCTTCGTCACACATGCAAAAACATACAACAGCACTGAACTCCAGAGAGTGCATGCCTTCAGAGGGCAGTGACAGCTTGCCTCCTGCACATACTTCAGAAAAGAAAACGAGCAGTTTCTGATACCAACGAAGATCTACAACTACAGCTATCATGATGGTGGTTTAAAATTCTGACTTGACATCATTTTTTTTAAAAAGGTCAATTTTTATAGGATAAGTTGCCATGTTGAAACGTACACACACATCACTACAGGTGCCTTTAATCTTAGTACTTAGGAGGCAAGGTACGTGGGTCTCTGTGAATTCAAGGCCAGCCTGGTCTACATGCAGAGCACCGACCATGCCAGGCAGGGCTACACAGTGAGGTCCTGTCTCGCTGTGAGGAGGCATAGTTCTAGGCGAGTAAAGCACATACAAAAAGCTGAGAAGTTTTTTTAAAAATTCAGAATAAGCCAGGTGTGATGGCACATTCCTTTAATCCCAGCATTCAGGGAGGCAGAGGCAGGCACAACGCTTTGACCAGGTGGTCAAAGTGAGTTTAGGCTAGCCAAGGCTACAGAGAGAAACCCTGTCTCAAAAAACCAAAAAAAAAAAAAAAAAGAAAGGAAAGAAAGGAAGAAAGGAAGAAAAGAAGGAAGAAAGGAAGGAAGGAAGGAAGGAAGGAAGGAAGGAAGGAAGGAAGGAAGGAAGGAAAAAAAAAAGTTCAGAATAAACCACATAAAAACTTTTAATTGCATATTCTTCAGTCTTCAGTAAAAATCTGAATTGCTATAAAAAAGCAGACTTTAGTAATACAAGCTAGACCACACTTTGCCCATTATTAATTTTGTTGCATAGTCTACTGAAAATGGAGGGGGAAATTGCAAAAGGTCTTCTTATAGAAACAGGCAAGTAAATTTAATGGGATAGAAAGACCAGAAATAGATTTACATATATATTACATCTATGTATATATGTATATAAATGGGCACTCCCATCCAACAAAGGGCCAATGAGGAAAAGCTCAGCTGTTTTATAAATGATGATGTAATAACTAAAAACTCATAGGATAAAAGAAAAAAAAAACCTTCATCCTTACCTCACACCACATACAAGGATTAACTCAGAGAGATTAAGCCCAATGTGAGAGTTAAAACCACAAATGTGTCTGGAGGAAAATACTCTGAAAGTGCCAGAAAACCATTTTTAACTGCGAAACAAGAAGCAGGAACTATAAAAAAAAATCAGTAAACTGGACATAAAACACGATCAACACCATTAATTGGTAATAAAAATGAAAGATGCAAAGAAGACTCTACAGAACCATCAACCAGGACAAGTGTGGGAAAAAATGCCATGTGATCAGAAAGGCCAGTAAGATGGTGAGGGTTTTTTTGTTTTTTTGAGAAAGGGTTTCTCTGTGTAGCCTTGGCTGTCCTGGACTCCCTTTGTAGACCAGGCTGTCCTCAAACTCACAGAGATCCACCTGCCTCTTCTCCTTGAGTGCTGGGATTATAGGCGTGTGCCACCACACCAGGTTTTCGATGTTGAGTTTTAATTGTCAATTAAAATCACCTGAGAATAGAGTCTCAGTGAGAGATTGTCTATATTGTGATGGCCCATCTGACCGTCCTTGGGGATTATAATTAAGTTAGTTGATGTGGGTAGAGGCAGCCCGCTGTAGGTAGGTAGGCACTCTTTCCTGCCTGTCTGGAGCTGCATGATGATAGAAGGGAAGCTGAGCCAAGCAGGTGAGCACACAACCTCTTAACTCTCTCTGCTCCTGAGTGAGAATGTGATGACCCCATGATAGGCTATAACCTGGAATTGTGCGCTAAAATAAGTCCTTTCCCTCAGTTGCCTTTTGTCAGGTATTTTATCGAAGCAACAGAAATGAAACAATCAGTATGCATTTGTACAAAATACACTGCTTACTGCTGAGGTCACACTAAGAGAGGCCCTAGGTCGGTAGAGCTCTCTCTTCAAGGGTTATTGCACTATTTTAGGTTTCTGAGACAGCACTTTACACTTAAAAGAACATAAAAAAATAACTAAAGTCTTTCATTATATGAATAATCATAATCTTTAAACAAAGGCTACAACGGTAAGGCAAGTTCACTTCGATTTGATGTAGACTATGCCAGCTTGCACAGTATCCGGTTCAAGGGAAACGGAATGAAGGGATTTTTTTTTGCTTTGACAATATTTATTTCTTTATGTATTCTACTCTCTTCCTGTTTATCTCTTGCTCTGGAAGAATTCTACGCTCTGTCTGGAATGGATCCTGAGCATTATTTTATTGTCTGTGTGATTTACTTATTTTGACCTGATTGTCAGTCATTGGACAGGCACTTACGTACTGAAAGGGATAGTATTCCATCGCTGAACACTAAGCGTGGCTGACAAGCTATGAAAGTGTGTCTACAACAGAAACAGCCAAGAAGCCCTTCCACCAAGAAACACAATTCTGAAAATGGGAAACTAGGACATCGGAATAGAAAATGTTCATTGCATACCACTTCTCTCTTTAAGGATTACCACCTGGCTCTACTCAGGCACCCATAATTGCCTAATAAGGTCAAAGCCATATTAACTTTCAAGGCTAGCCAGCAGTCCTTCTAGAAAAAGAAATCCTCCATCAAAAATATCAACACTTCACATTGAAAAATAAAACAATACGAAACCTTTATCCTTTGCTTTATGCATTGAAATTCATAGGTCAGAAATAAAAAGCACTTCCAAAGTAAAACACAGTAGCTGTGTCTGAGGTTATTCGTATGAGTGCGTCCATAATTCAGAATAGGACAAGACATGACGTCATTCTAACTCGCACCATCACGAGCCACACTTGGACAGGACCAAATCCTCCTAAGTGGCCTGTATCACAGAAGAAGCAATGCCCCCAAGCAAACTGCCCTTAGTAGACAGTTTTTAAAAACAAGGCAAACTCAGAAATTTTGATAAAAGCGGAAGTGGGACGTTACAAGTCCAGCGTTTAACCCTGCAGAATGAGCAACAGCCACAGGGGCTTCTGAGCGAGTTTGACAACCCTGTAGGTAGGTGTGGCGGTCTGACTAGGAACGGACCCCATAGATTCACATGTTTGAATATTTTGGTCCACAGGGATACTTGGTCCATAGGATGTGGCACTCTTAGGAGGTGTGGCCTTGCTGAAGTAGGTGTGGCCTTGTTGGAGGAAGTGTGTCAGTGTTGGGGTGGGCTTTGAGGTCTCCTCCGCTCGAATGCTTGGCCTGGCACTAAGTGTGTCACACTCCTAAGGCAGTCTCCTTTTGCTGCCTACGGATCAAGATATAATCCTTCTCTAGTACCATGTCTCTGCCCGCATAGCACCAGGCTGCTCTTCATGACTACGGGAACAGTCTAAACCTCTGAAACTGTAAGCCAGCCCCAATTAAATGTTTTCCTTTCTAAGAGTTGTTGTGGTCATAGTGTCTCTTCATAGCAATAGAAATCCTAAGACAGAAGTATAAAGCTATAAATGCATCAATGCTATAATTTCAAAGTCAAGCATAATCGCTGCTCAACTCATTTGACCAAATTGCAATTATTACAAGAAAAAAAAAATAAAGATTCAATCGCAAATATAATTTTATTCAATCTTAAATCCAAGGATGAGTCACCCAACGGACCTCAGCTGCGGCCCATCTAGAGCTGAAGTTCTAGAATAGTTAGCGACATTTTGAAAACTGTCCTCACCTGTTCAATGACATAAAAGGCAAATTCCAGCCGCTGTTTCTGGAGCATCGGGATCAGGTGCAGGAAAAAAATTGGAAGATGTTCATGGCGGTTACGGAAGGGGATGAGAACTGCCACCTTCAAAACAGAAGAGAACACCTGCAGCATGGGTGAGGCAGTGTTTCAGCGAGCCCTGCAAGCGCGCATGACCGCTGAGCCAGGGAAACCGCTAGCGGCTGTCAAGTCATGAGCCTTGTGACTAGTCCAAGCAGACATGCAACCTGTGCTCACACAGGTTCAGGCCTTGCTTCACATCCATGCGGGTTTCTTAAAGCTAGGCGGGACGCATGAGCTCTGAACAATTCATAAGCATCACTTATGCCACCACTCTCCCCCAACCTCTGGGATCTAAACTTTGCCAGGCCTTAGATTCTGACTGTCACAAAGCTAAAATGGCTTCTCACTCACTTTGCTTAGCTTCTGAGTTCAATGGGCCTTGTTGTAGCTGCTAATTTCCTAATAAAAGTTGAAATCAACGCAGTAAATTTTCTATGCATGATAAATTCCGAAATCACCAAATTTTCAAACGATTTAACAAATGAAAAAGGTTACTAAAATGTCTGCATCACTCTATATACTGGATATTGAAAGAACCATAAATTTGTTGAAACTGGAATTTGTTGAAATTTTTATCTAGACCAAATACATTCCAATTTAAAAAAACAAACAACAAAAATAAATAAATAAAACCCTACAGGCTGGAGAGATAGTTCAGAGGTTAAGAACACTGGCTACTCTTCCAAAGATCCTGAGTTCAATTCCCAGCACCAAATGGTGGCTCACAACCATCTATAATGAAATCTGGGTCCCTTTTCTGGTATGTAGGCATACATGCCAGCAGAACACTGTATACATAATAAATAATAAATCTAAAAAAAAAAAAAACACCTTACAAATAATCGAAAATGCTAAGTTCTGGGACTCATTTTACTTGTAAAATCAGGACATGACATTAGACATTGTCAACAACAAAAAAAAATCAACAATGGTGTTGAAGATGTAGTCAAAGATAAAAGACATGCTTATCATGTGTAGGTCCTGGATTCAGTCCCTAACACCACACATAAGAAATAAAGAGAAGGAAGGAAGGAAGGAAGGAAGGAAGGAAGGAAGGAAGGAAGGAAGGAAGGAAGGAAGGAAAGAAGAGACAAAGAAGAAAGAAAAAGAAAGAGAAAAAGAAAGAAAAGGAGAATGAAAGAAACAGAAAGAAAGAAGAAAGAGAGAAAGGAGAAAGAAAAAGAAAGAGAAAAAGAAAGAAAAGGAGAGTGAAAGAAACAGAAAGAAAGAAAGAAAGAAAGAAAGAAAGAAAGAAAGAAAGAAAGA